ATGTAACATGTGCACTGTTCTCTATCAACACGCATTCAGAAGTAGGTGTCTATGCCTTGATGATAGTTTAAAATGCAGCGAATATATAAGCCAGTAACATCACCCATTATTTTTTTGTCAACATTAGTTCCCACACACAGTTGTCTGTGCTGTACTTTTAGATGCATGAGTACACGGTAGGTTTGTTTACACCAGGGTTGCTTTAATTGCATGAGTCATGTAGGGAACTGAGATGTTGTGAGGTCAATGGGCAACTACAATTTTCCTATTCCATTAAACTCTTATGTGCCTGCTCTCATGTGTGTGATCTGTCGTTAATGGAAGCATTATGCAGCATGCAACTGTACATAAAGAGCTACATAGTGTTTCTTAAGTCCTAAGTACCCAACAGATGAGGCCTATGTAACCAAACTCCAGAGTGTCCAATGATGGACATTTCACCAGAAACCAAAGGCTGAGGTTCCTAAGTGTAAGTGATAACACAGAGGCGTATCCTTTATCCTCCGACTGCTACTTTTGTCTCTCTGTCTTTGTCTCCTCCCACCCCATAAGAAAGACAACACAGCTTGCTTATAAAGGCATAATTGAATAATTCTTCCTAAAGAATACATATGAATGGCCATAAAGCATACAAAAAGATGTTCAATGTCACCAGCCATCACAAAAAAGGTAAATCCAAACCACAATAACGTCATACTTCAATGGTAAAAATTGATAATCCCATGTGTTGGCAAAGATGGTGGCAAGTGAGAATCTCATTTGTTCCCGAAGGAAATGAAAAACAGCTATAGCCAACATCATGTGACAATACTGTGGTGTCTCAGTTAAGCACATATTTGTCAAATGACTCAATAGTTTTGTGCCTCTGTTTTTGTCCAAGAGACTTAATCCCTGCAGCTGCTTACAGACATGCGTACTGATGCTCAGGGTGCATTGTTCAGAGTTTGTTGTTGTTTCTGTTGTATTGGGAGGGGGCGTTGGGGACATGTATGTGTGTATACATGTTTGTGTGTGTACACGTCCTTGTGGAGGCCAGAGATTGATATTAGGTGCCTTCTTTGATCACTCTTCCCCATATTTATTATGGCAGGATCTCTCATTTGAGCCCAGAGCTTGCCAATAGGCCACTCTGCTAGCCAGCTTGCTCCAGGGATCCCCTCTCTCCATTCCTGAATCTGAGATTACAGAGAAGCTGTCAAGCCTCCCAGGTTTTATGTGCATGCTGGGGACCCAACCCAAGTCCTCACCCTTGTATAGCAAGTTCTTTACCTACCAAAGGGTCTCTCCAGCTCTGTTATTTGTTGGCTTGTTTGTTTGGGGTTATTTTGTTTGGTCTGGTGTTTTGAGACAGCTTCTTGCCATGAAACCCAGGCCCGCCTAAAACTCATGGTCCTCTAACTTCAGCCTCCTGAGTACTGGTTTATAGGTGTGCACTGCTGTGCCTGGCTTGTGTTCTTCATCATCGTCATCATTATTATTCCATTTATTTTTATACCACTGCTTGTAGGAGTGCAAACTTGCACAGCTACTTTGGAAGTCAGTGCGGCGGTTTCTCAGAAAACCGGGAATCAATCTACCTCAAGACCCTGCTATACCAATCTTGGGCAAATACCCAAAGGATGCTCAGTCTTACCACAAGGACACTTGTTCAACTATGCTCATAGCAGGGTTGTTTGTAATAGCCAGGACCTGGAATCAAACTAGATGCCCCTCAACTGAAGAATGGATAAAGAAAATGTGGTACGTTTATAGCACTCAGCAGTTTAAAAAAATGACAACCTTTATTTTTATAATGTATGTGTGTAGGTATATGCATGAAGGTCAGAGGGCAACTTGTGGGAGTCAGCTCTTTCGCTCTACTATGTGGTCCTGGGGTAACCAGGAAACCAGGCTTGGCAACAAGTGTCTTTACCCATCGAGCCATGGCTACACTCCCAGTTCGTCATACCCTGAGACTGGAGGCATCCCAAACCATGGCATAGCTACACAATGGAGTACTGGAACGTAGAGGACAGAGCTGTCAAACGTGGTGGCAATGTGGAGAAATCTCAAAGAGCTGTGTTAAATGAGGGCCCCAGACCCTTAAAAACCCCACTTATGGGGAATTAGAGAAAATGAAAAACTGAGTGGCTGCAGTTGGGGAAAAACAAAAAGGAGGTCAGGGGAAAAAAAAATCTCCTGAGATAAAGCAGTTGAATCTCTTGTGTTGGCGGCGGTCAACAATTATAAAAATTCGTCAGACTGCATGCTTTAAATGGATGGACTTCATGGCATGCAAGTAATGCCTTTCAAAATCACAGGGGCCAAATGTCCCAGTGCCATCCAACCTGTTGTCCCGGATGCTTAGCATAAACAGTGCTCGTTACTGGAAGCAGGGTCATCCCAGGCTCTTGGCTTCCTCTTGCCTCAGAGCTACGGATCCAGCTGACATTGACCGATTTCCAGTGCGCACCACGGTGCATCCCAGGCGGAGGCCAAGGGAAACAAGCCTGTGTTCCTGTCACTAATGATAAGAGCCTCCACCGGATTCTCTGCCAGGCCATGTTCATCGTCATTACACCCATTGAAGATGAGGACAGCAGTAATGAGCTGGGTGTTATCAGCTCACAAATAATTTATAGCGGGCAGACTAGGACAAGAGCAGAGCTTTTTTTGGCTGAGGAGGTTGCATGTCACTCTTTCAAATCTAGGCTAAAAATGATTTATAATACGTAGTCAGCCACTCAGCAAGCGAAAGAGTCCCTTTCTTCTGTCTCAGGCATCTGAACACTGGGCCTTCTGCTCTGAACTATCAAGGAAGGGTGTCTACAGCTCACCCCACCTGCCACAAGAAGACTTGGTCAAAAATGAGACCTTTCCAGGGATCCCTTAACCCAAACCCAAGAACAGGCCAGAAGCGGGGGGGGGGGGGGACTTCAGGAACAGAGGACCCTTAGGAAAGCCTAGAGATCATGCTCGTGAGATGAACTCTGGAAAATTGCTAAGAGGGGTCAGGAAATAGCCCTGTCTGAGAGAGAATGGGGGGGCAGGGAGCTGGACCATAAATGTGTTCTTGAAGTGGTGTGGATGCTTGAGCAGAACAGAGTGGCTACAACTTCAGTGGCATCCCAGGAAAGGGTATTCGGGGTGTGTTCTTATGCTTCTATGGGCGCTTCAGGGAAACAGTACTGATAACCTGTAGATGTTAATACCTGACCCAAGAGAGGTGAGCCACCGTCCACCAGAATCTTCTGTTATGACCACATATTGACCGACAGCCTCCTGATAAGGGGATTAACTCCCCTAGGCACTGTGACCCCCAGACCGTGTGTAGTGGTTTCTGTTCCCATCAGTGAGCTGAATCTCTATAAAAAGTTCATCTTGGGTATACTTAGGAGGGGTGGGTAACTTTCCCAGCCATGGGTCACCTCAGAATAAGTTAACTGTTTTTATGTATCTATCTGTTTTTATGTATGTATGTATGAATGTATGTATGTATCTATCTATCTATCTATCCATCCCTTTTAATATGCATGGCTGTTTTGTGTGCATATGTGTCTGTTCACCAGTTTTGTGCCTGGCGCCCATGGAGGCCAGAAGAGGGTATCAGCTCTCCTGGAACTGGAGTTATGGTTTGTTGTGAGATGCCATTGTAGGTGCTAGGAATGGAAACCAGATCCTCTGGAAGAAAAGCCAGTGTCCCGGACTGCTGGGCCGTCTCTCTAGCGCCATCAATTGGTTGTTGATGAAGGGACTGGGGTGTGTGTGTCATTGAGGCTCAGGCATCCACCATAGAGCTGCTCCCTGAGCCCTTGGGGAGGGGACCTCTCTATCATGTGTTCCTTGTTCCTCTTGTTAGGACAGCCCCAAACCTAGATCCCCTGGTCTAATTCCTTCAAAGCCTAGGGTTCCTCAGAGATCCTCAGACTGAGCAGCCTTCTACAGACACCCAGCGGAGTGTCCTTTGGAAAGTAGACTTTAACTTGTAGAACAATTTAAGGATCACAGAAAGAAAAATGAGTGGGAGGCATAGAGGTTTCCCGTTTAGTCCCTGTCCTGCATACCATGCTCCTAGGCTGAGTGGCAGCTTACGGTTGGCGAGACTCTTTGGCACGTCATGATCTTACATTAGAGTTTCCTCTTGGTGCAGCACATTCTGTGTGTTTGCAGAAGTATGGTGGTGTATGCCTGCACAGATACAGCAGTGGCCCTGCCCTCAAGACCTTCTATGCTGTGCCCGTTCATCCCTTGCTGCGGGCCACGATCGCTTTACCGCCTCTGTTGCGTCCGTCTCCTTTTCCGGAATGTCATAGAGTTGGAGTCACGCGGTGTCTGTCTGTAGCACACTGGTCTTCAGTAGCACACTTCTGAGTTCCTTCCGCTCCGCGTCGTGTTGCGCTGAATAGTGAGTGCTCTGACTCCCACTGCTCACCAGCCACTTGACAAATAGGACAGCATCGTCTGTCTGTCATATCTCACCCTGGATCTGCACAGCCCACAGACTGTGCCGAGACAGCTCTACCCCTCCAACAGGTTGGTGGTGCTTGGGGCAAGGGCCAGGACATATGCGTGAATGTTACAGCCAGGGAACCCAGCCACACCTCATGACTTGGCATGAAGCTGGATGCTCTGGGCTAGAGGAAATAGAATTGGAGCCTTATCCATCGGGGGTTCTGAGAGCAGATCTAGGTAAGCAGCATGCCGTTCGCTCCCTGGAGCTTAAAACGCTCTATGAAGTCGGAGAGGCAGTGTCTGGCAGTGGAGCTAAGCTGTGTACGGTTTTGCATGTGAGTCAGAACTTGCGTATTATTTATACTGTCTCTCTTTGTGGCCAAAAGTCTAGCAAAACATGTTTCTTGCCCCATTACTCAGCTCTGAACAGTGGCCAACATTACCTCCATGAGAGACTCAGATCGGGTGCTGTGTGTAGGATGAGCTCTGGGAGAGGAGGCACCTCTGTCGCATAGCAGAACCTTCACAGACTGGAATGTTCTTGTTACCTGCGCCTTGTGTGTCCCCAGGGCCTCCAGAAACAAGTCGGAGAAGAAGCGCCGGGACCAGTTCAATGTCCTCATCAAAGAGCTCAGCTCCATGCTCCCGGGCAACACGCGGAAAATGGACAAGACGACCGTGCTGGAGAAGGTCATCGGATTCTTGCAGAAACACAACGGTAAAGGTCGAGTTTCTTACCATATCTGTTCCACCCTGCCCTTCCTTCCCACAGGCGATGAGCCTGTCAGATAGGACACCCCTCTGTCATCACAAGGTCACACTTATCACTCACGGGCTCGCCTCCAAAGGCTCTGCACTTGCAAAAACAAAAACAAGCCCTATGTCCAGTTGGGGAGAAGATTGTCACAGCCCCAAATGCTTTATGAGCCTGAGGGGAGACTTCAGAGCAGCTCCACACACGGCCTGCACAGGTGGCACTCATAAACCCCTGGAAACCCCCCCAGTACCTGCCCCTTTCTGTCTGTTCTGACTTCACGCTTGAAGCCGTCTCTGCCCTTTGGGATCTTAGCCCGTTGGAATCACTAAATCCATTCACATTCCAACCCTGCCACTGGCGGAGGTTATGCTGTCTCTTGACATTACCACGTGACGCCATTCTGGATCGCGCGTCTTCCTCGGATCATCCTTCCTCAAGCACTCTTACCCCCTTTATGCTGGGGGACACTTAAAATAGTGTCCAAAGCAACCATAGCAAAACTAAGTCAGTAAAACGTCAGAGGACAATTGAGAGGACTCGGGAGCCACCCATAAACCAGGACAGCAGAAATCTTTCTGCCTGCGACGCCAAACACAATAAAATCTGGAAAGTCCAAATCACTGAGGGCGGAATTGCAATTCAGAGCTTCGTCAAACCCTGTTTTTCTCTGTGCATTTCTTAGACAAGTTGGAATCATGGCAGAGAACAGCGCTGGGTCACGGGAAATTGTCCTTATACATGTTATTTTTCATCATCTCTTTGAGAGTTGAATATACCTGTTAACATCATGCCAGCAATGGCAAGCTGCCCTTTATCTCGGAGATGCTGTAAGAGAGAGTGAAGAACATGTTAATTACTTTTGTTGAAAGCCATGGGGAAGACCACACAAGCAGAATGGCAACAGCTATCGGCCCTGATAATTTAATCAGAGTGTTTCTATTTCCTGAGTAATATTTTAGCCGAGTGAAATAGCAGGTTGGTTTGATTGCCAAGATTTTTTTTTTTTTTTTTTGTGCAAATTACTTGAACTAGGTCAGTACCACAGAGAATCAGGGCAGCTGTTAAATAGGACAGCTGGAATCAAGTTCATCACTGTGACATTTACCATGCTCTCTGTCCACTTTGGAGTTCCCTGATTCTCTAACCCGAACCCCAGAAGGGCGAGACCAGGAGCAGTATCCCTTCCCAACACCAGGAGAGCCTCTCAGGCCTCCTGCAGTCAGGGTTATACAGAGTCACACGTGTGTGTTTCTGAGATCCCCCCCCCATTCAGAAGAAGGGAAATCCACAGCAAATTGACGCACAGAAGTAGGGTGCTCACACCAAACTGTGGCTCAAGGCAAAAAGCCAACACAGCCACTTCGAGTGTCTTCCAAGTACACGTGACGTCCACAGGCAGCAATGGAACAGAGTCTTCCTTTCCGCATTAGTGCAGAGTTCTCAGAAAGCGAGCCGTGCTTCCCTTCAGAGCCTCTAGACTTCACAACAGTGCGTCTCTGAAAGTCTCACGGCGTAGAAGAAGTCAATGAAGAGTAAGAGGTTAACTTCCAAGTCAGACAGCCGGGAGACATGGACGTTAAACCCAGCAGCCCGTCTTACAAAGTCCCGTTCTTAGGTCACCTTCTACAGTGCTCTACAGGTCTGAGTCCTGGGGCCCCTGTTGAATCGTCTGTCACAGCTGCACACGTGTGTGCATGCCTGTGTGTATCACATACATGCCATAGGACAGCCTTGAGTCTCATTGTTCAGTGTTTTCCACCTTTTGGAGACCGGGTCCCTCACTGGTCTGGAACTTGCCAAGTAAACCAGGAAGCCTGATCAGCAAGCCCTGGGAATCTGCCTGTGCGTGCGGGTCCTGACTCAGGGCTGGGCTCACACGTACATATTACCATGCCCAAATGTTTCTGTGAATTCTGAAGATAAAACTCGGGTACTTGTGCTTGCAAGGCAAGCACCCTAGCAAATGCCTTATTTAAGGTCTCTGTTGCTGCAATGAAGCACCATGACTGAAAAAGGGTTTGGCCTATACTTTTAGATCACTGTTCATCCCTCAAGGAGGTCAGGACGGGAACTCAAAGCAGGAGCCCGGAGGCAAGAGCTGATGCAGAGGCCATGGAGGGTGCTGCTCACTGGCTTGCTCCTCATAGCTTGCTCAACCTGCTGCTTTCTTATAAAATCCAGGACTGCCAGCCCAAGGATGGCCCCGTCTACCCTGGGCTGGACCCTCCCCCATGAATCACTAGTTAAGAAAATGCCTGATAGACTTACCTGTAACCCAATCTTAGGGAGGAATTTTCTTATTTGAGGCTCCCTCCTCTCAGATGATTTTGCTTTTGTCAAGTTGACATGAAACTATTCAGCCCCAAGATCACTAACTTTTCAAGAAGTCTATTATTGTTGTTTTGTTTTTTTTTATTGTGGCAAGCATGTTGGTAACTTGAAGTCAGCCACTGTAAAAGTATTTACCACAGAAACAGGTAAAGCTCCAGACTGAGACCTCTTATTTGGGAAATAGAGAGCCTTTACCTGTAGACCTGTAAGGCTGACATCAGTGTTACTTTTTAACTTTTTATTTTATGTGTACAGCTGTTTGTCAGTATGTATGTATGTCAGTGTACATGTATGCTGTTACACATATCTGTGAGTTGCCATATAAGGGTTGGGAATTGAACCTGGGTCCTCTGGAAGATTAGATATTGCCATCTCTAGCCCGGTGATATCAGTATTTTTTAAAGTCCCCCCCCCCATGTCATGGAATGTGTAGGCAAGGTGAAGAAGTATGTGTTGTAACTACAGGTAAAATTAGAGAAAAATGATTAAGTGCACGTTATAGTTATAATTATTTAGCTCCTTCTTCAGAAATCCTTCAAGTATCCCCATTTTCTCAGCTTGGGAGGCAAATCTTGGTTCTGGAATATTCATGCATTCTTTCTGCAGCAATCCAAATCAAAATGAAAATACGACCCCACATTCTTGCAGTGAGCCTTTGTGTCAAAAGTATCTCTTGTAAGACATAAGCCCCTACATTTTATAAGTGGCAAGGGATAGTGGATGTCCTTGACTGTTCCTATCTGAAGTGGTATTCCACAGCCCAGGCTGGCCTGGATGTTATCATCTTCCTGTATAGGAAGCCAACCAAGTATACTTTTGCACCAACATCAATTCCCAGCCCTTAACGTCTGCCTCTGTGGGCGGAGGTGGACCCACAGCAGAAGATGTAAAAATACCTTGGAAACCACTGGAGGGCTTGGAAATATTATGATTAACAGCCACCCACCACCACCCCCAATTCTCCTCTGTTGTAACTCACAGTTGTAGAATGTTCACCTTCTAGTTGCTGCTGGCATGCCTGAACAGTGTTATCTTTGGGCTACATGTACTCCACGATATCTAGAAAATGTAGCAGAGATCCAGCTTCCAGAGTGAGTGGCTACTACCCTGTCCGAGGGAGATTTCTACCTACAGGGAGCACTTGGACCTTATGTCTTTGCTCACCCTGCCTTCCGCCTGTAACTTACGGCAGCAGTCACATCAAATGCCCATGGAGCGAGGACTTTAATTTCCCTTCGCAATGGACCTCTATGTAAATGAAAGACCCCCTCTCTGGGCAAACGCTCTGCAGTTTGATCTTCCTGACTGCAAAAGTTTTTCAGACGAGGAGAAAAGAGAGGAGGCTTAATGCTTTAAGATACCCATGCCTTTTCTGAGGGTTTAGGCTACAGCGATGATTTGTATCAAGCCCTGGGAGTTCTGCCCTCTCTCTCAATTGCATCAGCTTGACACCCTCAAGATGAGCTCTGGCCTAGCTGTGTGTGGCAGCTCTCTCTGCTTCCCAGAATGCAGTTCGCTGTGTGTATCATGGGGCCTGGCACCGTGAGGCAGCCCTTGTGGCCATGGATGTGATGGATGGCCTCATAGCTGATGTGGTCTCTTCCAGATCTCATCCTGTGCTGTCACCAAAAATATCTTTGAAGTTCTCCTGCAGCTTTTAAGGCCACTGTGCTCGTTAGTCTTGTGTCAACCTGCACAAGCTCGAGTCATCTGAGAGGAGGGAGCCTCAATTGAGAAAACACCTCTGTAAGATCTGACTCTAGGCGTTTTCTTAATTAGTGATTGATGGGGAGGGTTCAGCCCATAGTGGGTGATGCTCTCCCTGGGCTGCTGGTCCTGGGTTCTGTAAGGAAGCAGGCTGAGCAAGCCATGGGGAGCAAATCAGTAAGCAGCACCCTCCATGGCCTCCGCATCGGCTCCTGCCTCCAGGTGCCTGCCCAGCTTGAGTACCTGTCTTGGCTTCCTTTGGTGATGGACAGACAGTAATACAGAAGTGTGAGCCAAACAAACCCTATCTTCCCCCAATTTGCTTTTTGGCCATGGTGTTTCATTGCAGCAACAGGAACCCAAACTAAGACAGCAACAAATGATGGGCCGCCCAATTTTGTCTGGCGACAACAGCAAAGTGTTCTTTAGAAGGAAGGAAAACGTCATCCCTCCGGGAAAGCCTGATTCTCACAGGGACACTGGTGATGGGCGGAATGAGTCAGGGCACTGTCCACATCCTTTTACCTCATGAGTAACTGCTGAATCAACTTAGACTCAGTCAGACAGAGGATCCACTCCCTCCCCATGGAAGAGAGATTGCATGCGGCTGTTGGGCGTTGCTCATTGGCAGTATTGCCTGGCATGTATGAGGTCCTGGGTTTGATGCTTAGCACTTGAAATCTCTCCCGTGTATAATGGGCAGATCCTCTGTCTGAACAATTTGCTTTCTGCACGAGGTTGCTCAACAGGCCCGTTTCATTCCCCGAGGTGTAAGTGGCGTGTTCTTACATCGTTCTTAATGTAAGTGGGGAAAATGTTGGTTCAAGATAAATGAGGAGAAATAGATGTGCTGTTGCGTCTGCGGCAATATTGAGGTGATTTAACAATAGAACAAAAATTTAAGTACCAAAAAAAAAACAGCTAGGATATTCAAGGAGCCCTGCACGGACCTGTGAGTATCCAACTGACAAGTGTGAACCGTGTCAGTCAGTTCACACCATGACGTAGAATAGATATAGACCAACAAAAACAACAACAACAAAGTTTTAAGAAAAGTAAAAACCAGGTCTTGACAGCATCTCTGTGTGCTAAGGCTAGGAGCTGTGAGCTAAGCACCTCCCTAGCATGTGAGGCCTGTACCACAGAGACAGTGGAATAACAAGTCTGTTTAACAAGTTGTTGCTCAGTAATGACGGAGAGGGCGAGAAACGAGCCCTGTCCTACGTGATATATGGGCTTATTTACCGCAAGCCTGCGGTGTCTTTGCAAGGTTCTTTTTGAAGTGCGGGGAATAGAACCCAGAGCCACACACGGGAAGCAAGCACACGCTCTATCTGTGAGCTCTACGGCCAGCCCTCGGAATTTTTGTCAGCCCTAGATTTCAGGAGTGTTTCTGCTTTGCCTGAGTAACTTGGCGAGATACCATCGTGTCCGTCTTTGCTCCTCCGCTTGAGGGTGCCAACTGCCTAATCCTAGCTGCTTAAGACTTCAGAGAGTGAAGGTCACAGCAGTGGCAGGCTCTCTGGCTCTACCTGTGCTCATGACGGGACGTTCTCTTCTCCACGCCGTCATTAAAGGCTGTGACAACATCAAAATGTTTTCAGCCCATTGTATCCGCAGTCCTCTGAGTTTGGAAGTCAAGGCTAACTTATGTCCAATGCTTTCTTTAAATAAAGATTTACACAAAATAACACAGACGAGACATGTGTGCATTTATTAATTCCACATTTGAAGTGCCTTGAATTTGAAGATTTATGTATGTTTCTCTTTTTTGATTTTTTTTTTTTTTTTTTTTTTTTTTAGAAGTCTCAGCCCAAACAGAAATCTGTGACGTTCAGCAGGACTGGAAGCCTTCATTCCTCAGCAATGAAGAATTCACCCAGCTGATGTTGGAGGTAAAGGGCACTTTCAAGTTAGCTTAACAAATCTTGGAATGCAGCGAGAAATGAATGTACTCAGACCACACAAGGCCTGGGTTCAGATCACCAGCACCACAAGAAGCCAAGCATGGTGGCCCAAGCCTTTAATCTCAGCACTCTAGAGGCGAAGGCTGAAGAATCAGAAGTTCAAGGCCATGCTCTGTTGCTTAGCAAGTTTGAGACACACGCACATACACTGGGCCTTGTCTGAAGACAGTAGCAGTAGCCACCACCATAACAAAACAAACAAAATGTAAGGGAATAGCTCAGTCAGTAAAGTGTTTTCCTCACAGTCATGAGGACCTGATTTTGGTCCTCAGAACTTACATCTTAGAAACTTGACACATATTTATAATTCCAGTGCTTGTGAGGTGGAGATAGGCCTAGCCAGTCAGCCTGGTCTGCATGGTGACTTCCAGAACAAAAGAGAAGCCCTGTGTCAAACAAAAACAGTCAAAGTGTTTGACTCCTGAAGGATAACTTCCAAGGCAGATTTCTGGCATGCATGTGCATTCACATACATGTGCACATGCACTCACACACATATTCACATGCACTCACACATGTATGCATGAATTCACACACATGTGTACACACATGTATGCATGCATTCACATACAGGCATATGTACTCACACACATGCAAGTGCCCTCACACACTAGTTCACATACACTCATACATGTATGCATACACTCACTCACATGTACATGTGCGCTCACACATGTATGCATGCGTTCACATACATATGCACATGCACTCACACATGTACACATACACTCGCACATATATGCATGCACATACACACATATGCAATGCACTCGCACATGTATAATGCACTTACACATATATGCATATGTACCATGCGCATGTACTGACATACATATACTCACATGCACATACACTTTCACACATGTGCTTGCACATGCATGTACAATAGCACACAGACATTCATATACATTCAAATTTAATAGGTTAAAGAGCTTAGTGAGATAGAAATTAAAATGCAGCTGCTTATTCCTTTAGCTTCCATACCCAAACACAGCTTCTCACGGCCTTGGAAATAAGCTTGGAACAGATACTGGCTTGTGACTCTGCCTGCTGTTGTTTATGCTTTGGCTACTGTGCTGGGCCACCTCAGCAAAAATCCCCAAACTGGATATGGTGGAATGCTGTCTGCTCCCTCGGTGACTGTAGGTCAGGCCCTACGTGTGGTCCCCAAAGAAGAGGCATAGGTCATGGACCGGGAGTGAGTGGCGGAAGTAGGCAGAAGGGGGAAGAAGGGAAGAACACCATGACAGACAGAAGCCTCTCTTCGGGGTGCACAGGTTGTAATTTTTCCTTAGTGGACACACATTTGGAAGTAAGTCTTTTAAAGTTACGCTTTAAGCCTGAGCTCATGGTACATTAACATTATGTGGGTGTCAGTCATGGTGACCTGTGCCTCCCACCCAACCCATGCCCTTCTTTTACGAGATGCCCATGCTCCTTCCTCTGGTTACTGTGTTCCCCGGAGGACCAACTTTGGGGAGTGGGGGCAGAAACTGAGCTAATAACCTCTAACCGTGCCCTTGAAATTTTACCCGTGGGTGAAAGTTCTCTGGACAGACCGGTCTCCACAAAGCACTGGCAGAAACTCTGGCTTCTGACTTGGGGAGTTTTCTGGAGGTGCATGCATACAGCCATAATGATGAACAGAGTCAGAGGAGACATGGCTGAGACCTGGGACAGAACAGCCCAGCCAAGGGAAGTTCATGGCTGCATGACCGCAAATGGCTCCTGGCTGAGGCTTCAGGGGATAAGTCTGTCTATAGCTCCTCTCTGTGCCTATGTAGCACTGATGTAAACTTCAATTTCCATAGATTAGCTATGCGGAAAACAGAAAGTACTAGAATAAGAAAATGCCAGAATAAAGATGTCTAAATATTATGAAACATAAATGCATTAATGAACATTTGCAGCAAATGAAAGCTACTTAACTCTACATGGGAACTATATTTAAAGGAAATACAGAACTTTCTGCTGAAGCAATGTATTTTAAGTATGTTAAATTTAAAGCAGCCTGTGAAATAGAATGTTAATTCGATGCACCATTATGCTGCTTTGCAGGCATTGATTTATCTTTTAGTTCCTTCGGAAGAGGAGTTAAAAACATATAGCCCTCTGGAATCAGCCACTTTTTAAGAGCCTGTTAACTCAACATTTTTGTTTTATCCAGTGAGTTTCAAAGTATCCAAAGCATTTCACAGAACAAAGCTTCTGTGAAGTTTTAAAACTTTGGATAAATGCATGTCTGGAACAAAGACCTAGCAATCAGGACTAGCTTTTCTAGAAAAAGATTTTAAATTAAGGTGGCTCATCTTAATTAATGCCCCTACGTATGCAGCTGCTCCCAGAGTAGAGTCCTTGATGCAGCTAGACCGGAAGACTAAATACGTGGCTTGGATCTGAAATCACACCTGACCACCCAGCCCTGGTTCATGGAAGACAACTCTGAGCTGGATGTCTACTGCCTACTGCTGGTATCTCGCTATGCTGAGCTTCTCTTCCAACCTGTTGCCCTTCAGTAGACACAGATCTGGGGCTGACCCAGCAGAACCATCTGGTTACTCCTCCCCTGTGGTCCAAATCCTCCAATGTGCCCCCTCAGGTTACTCGTGAGTTTCAAAGGTGCAACTTATTCCGAGTGTTTGTCGCATATCCCCCTGCACATTCTCCTCTCTCGGGGACCAGGCCCTCCTAGGCTTCTGGTCTTTGTAGCCAGGAGATTCCTTTTATTTCCCTGAGGACGCAACTGACTGGGAACACATATGCCCTAGGAAATCTCTAATGCCTCCGGACATGGATCTTTCTTTCTTCCTACCATCTGCCAAAGGGGCCCAGAACCGATTTCAGGACTCACACGAGTGTGAAGTACAAATGAACAAAACAGCCCAGTTACAGCCCAGCCTCTCTCTCGGGGAGAATGTAAGCCCAGGAAGACTGGACAAAGCACTTGGAGAAATGACTCGAAAAGAGGGAAACTTCCTTTTTTCTCTTTTCCTTTTTTCCTTCCTTTTTTTTCCCTTTGCATGTATTTCTTTTATTTTTATGTGCATAGGTGTTCTTGCCTGCATGTGTGTCTAGGCAAAGCATGGGTGCTTGGCGTCCACAGAGGTCAAAAAGGGGCATTGGATACCTTAGAACTGGAGTTACAGACAGTTGTAAGCCACCACCTGGATGCTGGGGACCAAGCCCAAATCTTCAGCAAGAATACGCACTTCAGCTGCTGAGACACCTCTGGAGCCTGCAAAGGAGAGAAAGTTCTTGCTGGCTGTGGTTGGGGAAAGTCAAGGTCTTTCTGCTGTTTCCCAGGAAAGCTCCAGCAATCTTTTCTCTTAACCCATGCACCGCCCCAGAGGATGCAAAGAACATTCCACTGAAATTGGTCTGTAGGTGAGGGAGGCTTCACGTCTCTGCAATATGCAGCAAGGGTAACCCTCTGGCATCCATGGGAGGCCCCTCCCATGGATAGGGCCACATTGCAGCTCTGCCGTCACACATAGCGTTGCTGTGGGATTTCCAGAGCCGTGGCAAATGGCAATCATTGTTCACACAGAGACTCAATGCGGGAGTTAATACACTTTGTGAATAACGCCAGGGAGCCGATGAAGGTCCTCTCGCACCTGTGAGTACCTCCGGCTTTGTAATGCCGACGTGATGGACAGACTCAGGGATGACGTAGGGTCACTGTACAAACATAAGCAGAAAAAAAATGGCTCATTCAGCTATTTTCTCCAGCCTTCCCTTCTGTTTCCAGAAAGGTCCAGCTGATACCATCGAGAATGCCTCCGCGCCTTAGAAACATTCACCGGCAGGACGGCTGCAGAGGACCTGGGGGGAAATGGGGGTTACCACAGGCTGGGGAGGGGAGGGGCGTGGGGTGACACAAGGCTCACAGGCTCTGATTTACAGACAGCTGGAAACAAGAAGTTCTGGGGTGTTATAGCTGTGCTGCAGGGTGCCTTAAGAACAACAGTGTTGTGGACCACAAAAGGTAGATGGAGGGGGCTTTTAATTGTCTTCACCATAGATGGCAAAAGCTTTAAAGTCAGATGGATGCCTCTAGCCTGAGTTAAATATTATACCATCTACACACACATCAAATATTCCATGGTACCCGTGGGTGGAGCTTGCCTCAAAGTACTACCCAAAAGAAACCACTGAGTTGAGCTTGCATTGACAAAAAAATTTAGATTCTAAAAGAGAAACAGTTTATGAGAATAATTGAGGGGGTGGGGCAGGTAAAGTTACAAAGCTTTTATTTTTTTTTTCGCCATAACTCACAAGTCTAAACCAGAGTTCCTCGGCCTCAGCATGACTGGCATTTTGCAGTTGGTCATTCTCTGACGTCCTGTGTATTATATGATACTTTGCGTCAACTCCTACCTCTACTCACTAGATACCGCTGTCACACTCCAGTAACAATGACCCCAAATAGCCACAGACATTGCCGGATACCCCAAGGTAGAGACCCATTGATGTGATCCCAAAGGATGAGGTTTCTTTAAGAGATGTGCTTTACAAAAATCAACTCAGGACCAAGGGGCCTGGAGTTGCTGAAACTGTTGGAGGGTAGGTGTCGCAGTAGAGGCAGAGGCAAGAACTCGTGAAAACACCCTCAAAAAAACGAAAAACCTGGAGAATTGACAAATGAGACAGCATGAAATTAAACAGCTTCTGCACAACCAAAGAAACTGTCAGCAAAGTGAACAGACAACCTACAGCATGGGGGGGGAAGGGGAGGGGGAAGTCTTGCACCAGCTATCCCGCAGACAGGGGGTTAATACATAGAATATATAAAGAACCACAAAAACCAAACACCAAAAAATAAATAATAATAATGAATAATAATAATCCCATCGATAAAATGGGCCATTGAATGCAAAAGGCAGTTTTCAAAAGAAGAAACATAACTTCTGGTCAATATATGTTTGTTGAGGCCTTCAACAACCTTAGCCATCAGGAAACATAAGTTAAAATTAAGATCCTGTCTCACCCTACTCAGCACATCAAGGAAACAAATGAGGAGTTGAAGATGTGGTCACACGACTCACTCACATCCTGCGTGCTAGCCCAGCCCCCTGTGTCCACCTGATTTCATACCCCCCTGCCCCACGTCTAACCCTCAGACACAGCCTGCTATGGCCACATGCCACCTGCAACCGACAGAATAAATTAGCATGTGTGGGTCTCATTCCAAAATGCAGACATACCAAGATAGGGGGCACAACCCCAAATCCACCAGTCCCACGGAATGTCCCCCAATAGGAATTACCTGAATGTTACTTCTCAGGGAATGACAGAGAACATAAAGGGACAGTCATAAACTTCAGCGGAGAATGCAAGGAGTTTAAAGACACACAGAAAAACGATTCCATAAACTTAGAATAACTGGAGAGATGCCCAAGGCGACACGGACTCAAGGCTGAACGGAGCTATGGAGACGTTCCAGGATTTTAAGACGGAATTCAATAAAGGGAAACATGGAAGAGAACTAAAGCTGAAAGGAAGACAGAACTGAAAAACTCGGCAACTCAGTAAGAAACTCGTGGGAAAGCCTACAAGGAGACCCGGTCAAAGAGAAGATGGGTTATCAGAACCTGAGGACAGCAGAATTATAGCACAAAAGCCAAGATTCTCTGGGGGGAGGGGGAGTCAAGCACGGGACAAGGAACACACAGGAATTGTAGGACACCATGAAAAACCAAAGCTTTGAGTTACTGGCATAGATAAGGGAGAAGTCAATGATAGGCCAGATCTCCAACAAGATCATAGAAAACTAAGAAACAACACATCCATATAGATGAAAGAAGGGCACAGAGCACCAAATAAAAAGACCAGAAAAGAAAATCCCCATGGCACATCATACTTACACTAAAGAAAAAGTGCTGGAAACTGCAAGGAAAAACACAAGCCACGTATCCAATCAGTGCCCTGTTCTGCCGCTCGACCCCCCCCCCACACACACACCCATACCCTCCTGACTTCGCAGAACCAATACCCTTGTGTGGGGGTAGGTTCTCAGCAGCACCCTGGGAGGATCTAGAAAAGGGCATCCAGAATGTTTCCAAACCCTTCTAAGCGAACGTTTCAGCCCCTCCCCCTAAACAGAAAAGTTCCCAGATTTGGAGAAGACGGTATTTCAAAGACAGCAGTGGCCGGCTTCCTGTGGACATCCATCTGAGCCTATGTATCGTTCCCCCCAAAGACATATTGGACCTTGTTTTCAACTGCTCTGTCTCTCACCAGGCTCCCCGGCCCCCAGCCAGTCGCCAGAGAGACCCCATCTTTGCCGAATCTTCGGCCTGAGATTAGAAATCCGCTTTGAGTGGTGTGGTTATAGAAATTTTATAAGCATGCACAGTCAAATTTCAATAAATCTGAAAAACTAAACCTCAAGAGACTCTACCCTGTGAAAAAGCATGGCCCATGTTTATTTTCTCGTAGCGGAAGCAGGGCGCCTAGCAGACCGTATGGACGCTTTCACATACCTGCGGCTTTTAGATATTCAGAAACACTTGTGTCTGGATGACTTAGTTACAAAGCCCCCACTCCCACCCAGCCTGGTGGAACGAAGCAAAACCTGCTTTTGGAGTCGGTAGGGATTAAAATCAAGTTCCACTGTCTTCCTGCCTCAGCCTCCCAAGTGCAAGGATTACTGCCTAATGCCAGCACAATGCTGTCATGTAGACAGTCTCTCCTGTAGCTGCTTCTGTGGCCGTGGTTGCAGACGGAGGGCCTGCCACATCCAGCGTGGCTGCAGGGGTGGGCTTGACTGGGTTAGCAAGAGAAGGAAGAAAAGACACACGGAGAGAGACAGGTGGACAGAAAAACGGGCGAGGCGGACCGGCCTCTCTGATGGAGAAGCCGCAGCACCCCAGAGGTGAACAGGGAGGCAGGGTAATTGCACAGAGCTGAACAAAAAGGTAGCTTTGGCTATTTATTCTTGGTAAGAGCAGTCTCTGGTGGGGGACAGTCTTTAAGCCGTAGACATCTGCTGAGGGTGGAGGTTGGGGCAACTGTGTTTATTTTCTACACATAGTATCTGGACCGGAAATGTGGAAAGGAAGGTCTTGCCGTTTTCCCATCAGCCTAAGGCACTGAGTGCCTTGACATGGTGGGCCCACGTCAACAGCACAAGCCCACTCAGGCCTTAACACACTGGGTGATTCCTCTGCTTCCCGCTTTGGCCCACAAGCACACGTTTCTGTTTGTAAGGTATCTCTGTCTCTATACCTTGCTCATTCTCTATACGCCTTGCAGTAAAAACTTATTTACTCCTAAGCTCACGGTGATCTTGGGGGCAGGGCCGCATGTTGCCGATGACTCTTAGCGGTAACGATCGCATTTCTGATTCAGCTCGGCGGTGTGCCTGCCACGAAACCTGCTTAAGCAGTTTCCATAGCTGAGTTTCATTTTTTTGGTACCGATAGGTCAACTTTTTCACTGAGCCTCAGTAGCTTTTGCAGACACTTTGCCCGAGCTAAACAAACGGTGTACCAAACTGAACCAGGGAAGTGCTGGGAGGTTATTCACAGAAATGGTCTGAGGTCTGCGAAACAAAGCCAGTGTCATCAAAAGTGCATCTTCTGCTTCAGCGTCACGCTCCTCCGTAAAAGCATCTCTAAGAGGCTTTCAACTGTTGCATCTTCCCCAGGCATTAGATGGCTTCATCATCGCGGTGACGACAGATGGCAGCATTATCTATGTTTCTGACAGTATCACGCCTCTCCTTGGGCATCTACCGGTGAGTTCCCGCTCCAATGGCCTTGGCCTGTGCACGTTTTCATGTTTTTCCTAGAGAAGCAGGAAAATTCAGACCTCAGAGCAGAAGTGGTACAGGTAGAGGGAGGTGCATGGAGAGTTTTAAAGAGTGTCCATGTTCTGCAGAACCAAACCAGGCCCAGTCCGAGGTCCTGGGATAGCTGGAGGACGGGAGAAGGTGTGTGTCAGCCTGAAACAGGCATGGAACCGTGATCTCATCCGGCCCCGGGTTTGGGGACTGCCATGAGTGTGTCTTGGTGCTGTTAACAGAACTCAGAGGGCAGCAGATGTCCCTGGTCAACTGAGAGCTGATTAAGGCAGGGGAGACAGACGGCTCATGTAGGACATGGTTTGGAGCTCTGGATACATGTATGAGATTGCCAGTAGTTTGGAACTCCAATCACTCCGAGCCCTTAGTAGCCGCAATGGTTCCTGGGAATTGAAATACTCTAGCGAGACGCAGCCGGACCAGGGTTGTGGGGGCCTTGGTGAATGAGAAGGGACTGCACATGTACGCAGGATGGAGCAGCTCTGCAGCCATGGATGGATGGATGGTAGAGGCTTGGGTGTGGGGTGGCCGCAGGGCCCTCTGTTCCCTCTTCCTCCCTCCTCTCTGTAATCCCTGATGCTCCCTGATAACAACTCGACATGAAGTCACTTAGACATCCACACCCGACTGAAAGAGGATCCACCCTTGAGGAAACCTCAGGCCTTTCCCAGCTTCCCATTTCTTGCCCTGCCGTTATCGATTGCCCCAGACTATGGCCTGAAACGTCAGCTCCTGTAGGAGAGACACATGTGACGGACGGCGAAACCTCCTCTGCTCTTGGTCCTGACCAGTCTGACGGAGCCTGTCACCAAATCCCTAACCCTTGCACTCAGAAAGTTAGGCCTCCAGTTTATGTGACAAGTAGGGTAGGAGCTTGCCCTGAATTAAGCCGAAGGAAATCCCGGGCCAGCGTGATACTAGGAAGCTATGGTCGCCTCTCCATTGCCCTTCCAGGCCAGGAGGCAGTGTGATCTTACTCCATGGGCAGCTTCTGTCTGTCTTGTGAAAATGAGCCCAACTCTGATGGGAACTCAGGGTTTCTTCTACATTGTTCTGGCCTATCGGTTCTTCAGAACCAACCCGTTATTTTTTTGCAGATGATTTCGTCTGCCCATAGAACGGTCACTTGCATTTTTCTGCAGTCCCTGAGTCTTAGGTCTGGAAGGTATTTTGACCTTTCTGGGTGGGCACCTTTCCCTTGGCATCAGAGGCATCTGGATACCTTTCCCCTGGCACTATAGGTATGATCCCTGATGCCAGAATGGGATGGGCACATGGGGTGGTGTCTCTTTGGGAACCACTGTTGGGAAAGGTTCCTTCTGGTCTTGAAGGATGGCGAAGTGCACGCACACACACACACACACACACACACACACACACACCTTGATCTTTGTCTCAGTCAGGAGGGTGGTAACAGATGCAGAGGTGACATTTCCTCAGCATGGCTTCTTGGGGCTTATCTGAGGGTCGCTGGACAAAGAGGAGGGTATGAGGTGGCTCTCTGGAGAGAGCTTCTATTTGCTTTGAGCGGCAAAGACAGCACGGTGATGGGCCCTGGCCGAAAACAGCCAAATGTGACCTGCTTTCTGGCTGGGAAGGAAGGCCAGAGCCCAGAGCTGTTTGGGTAAACAGGGTTACTCTCCTTACTCTCCACTGCCTTATGCCTTCGTGGTTATCTGATGACCCAGATGCTATGTGCGGCAGAGGGAACCTAGTGATTTTCCTGACTTGAAATTTCGGAGCCGTGCAGGGCCACCCTGAGAAATCGGGTTCTAACTGGGAGGGCCGGAGATGACTTTAACTCTTGCTCCGTCGCTCCAGACCCCTGTGTGTGCTTGTCATGCATCTATCTGTAGAGAATCACACCCTTGGCACACACAGCAAGGCTGAGCCCTGGAATGGGAAGTCCGAAAGTTTAGCTTTGATTTACTGTTAGCTCTCATTATCTGACTTTCACTGGGATCTTCCCTTCGCAAGTGGGGTGGACAAGAGCTTTTGAGAGGAGGCCTTTCCCTGGCTCCATGAGCAGTCAACTGTGTCTTCCGGGAGTCATTCCTCTATTGCTTCCAACCTACAGCCGAGGAAGCCCAGGGCCCCAGCCAGTGCGGGCAGAGCAGGTGCGGCTCTGTCAAGCCCAGGCTGGTCACAATTTCACTCTGCATGAGACCAGGACCTGTCTATAGAGTATTTAATATCTGCAGAAGCCCTGTGAAGCTGACTTCCCTTCAGGGTTTCAACTAGAGTGTGTCCACGTGTTCAAGGCCAAGCTCCTGAGTGTTAATATCTGTAAAGCATTTGCAACAGTCTCTTGCTCTCCTTACCAATCTCACGGTGATGCCATGACAGTTGCTCCAATGAGACAACATGGAAATGCAGAGGGGCCCAGTAACTGACCCACGGTATGGCAGGCAGCCAGGGGTGTGGCTGTGACGTGAACTGAGACAATGGCCCCAGAGTCAGGAGCTTAATTAAGCATCACCCAGAACTTTCCAGAGAACAGAAAAAAATGTGCCAGTTCCCCAGGTTGTGGTGAGTGGTGAGGAACTGGAAGGTGGTCATGCCACAAGGAAGGGGGCCGCTGAGAAAAAGGACAATCAGAACAAGGGTCAGGAGTGTTCCCAACGGCTGAGCCCCGCTGAGTCACTTAGCACAGGCTGGCACGCCATGGCCTGATCTCACAGTCCCCTTGGTGACTGGGATGAGAGAGGGTCCTGCATGATGGAGAAAAATCAAGCAGAGCTCTTCCACAAATGAGTGAGCATCAAGGCTCTGTTCCCTTCATCTTCGTGTGATGGTGCTCCCGATAGATTCTCTTCTCGGACGGCGGTTTCCTGATGAAGCATCATTCTTTTGGCAGAGGAAGCAAAAAAAAAAAAAAAAAAAAGAATCAAACAGCAAAAACACACCCAAAGTAGAAAGTGGTTTTAAGATTTAAAAAAAAAAAAATTTCCCCAGTGGTGTTAACATCAACAGTTGGCCTTTCTCAGTGTCTAGAATGAACATCAAAGCAGAAAGTGTGTGTGTGCGTGTGTGCGTGCGCGTGCTTGCGTGCGTGCACACATCTCTGGAAGCCCACAGCTAAAGGGCTCTTCTGAGATGGCAGACTTTCACAAGAAATGCTATAAAACAGTCTGCATGCAAAGGACTGGGAAACAGTCCGGCTATGGCAGAACCACAGTAGGCATGATCTGGGTTTCCTGTTTGGACTCTTTATTTTCTTTTGAGCTATCATCCTGGTTCCTTTTTCTGGTTTGCTTGCGAATGCAGTGCTTGCCTGAAGCGCTGGGTCATTGTGCTCTCTGAAGACAGAAATCATGTCCCCAGCCCTGAGTATGGTACCATGTGTCTCCGTGTTTATGAAAAAGATGAGAGCTTCCTCAATGGACCTGTAATGTGGGAGCAACTGTCTGCACACACCTAAGAAAGGCAAGCATGCTGATATCTCAATCCCACCCCCCAAAAGAAATGAGCTAAGATTAAAGAAGTCTATAGGCTGAAAAATAAGTTCATATGAGTTAGTTCTGCAGGTAAAGGCTCCATTGAGAACTACATACGTGATTATCATGAGTATGTGGGCAAGCTCCCATGACGCTCGCAGTAGTAGGGCAGCCAGTCACACAAGAGGAAAGTCTAGCCTCTGGCTTGCATTGCTGTAAAATATAGCAGCCAGGCCAAGGCTGCAGCAGCCCCACTTTCCAGAAAACATGTCTACCTCCAGAACATGTCATCGGAGGACTCCAAGGCAGAGAGCCCAACACACGTGACTGTGATGTGAAGTTGCAAGTCCAAGCCTCCCAAGTGTGTGTTGGCGGGGAGAGGGGTACCACAGGTCTAGAATTTAAACTGATGAGTAAGTGAGCAAGAGCATGCAGGCAAAACATCCATCACCAAGGCTGAGAACCAGAACACATCTGCGCATCTGCGACCACAGAGGGCCCGGCCCGTCTGCTATTCCTCATCGGGTCTTACCTCTGCTGTCTTCCTAAGTTTCACCGCAACTGCCTGCCTGTTTTCTTCACAGATTTATTAATGTTGAACCGCTTGCTGAGCAGTAACTTAGTAGAGGTTAAGAATTTCATACCCCAAATGTTTTTGGAACAAGGAGTGTTTTGATATGGGATATTCCTCCCCTTACCCGTTTAAGTTTTTTTTTTTTTGCTGCTTTGCATAGATTTTGTTATGCCTCTATATTTTCATAATGAAATATCTTGAGGCAGGACCCGAATCTAAACAAACAAACAAAAGAATACGTCTATGCTTCGCCTGACATTTGTAGCCCAAGGAAAGTATTAGGGAATATTTTGAATCATTCCATGCATTAGACAATATTTCGTGGCGCAGAATTTTCCTGAAATTCTCAGATTTGGAGGTAGAGCTACGGCTCAGTAGTTAAGAGCATTGACTGCTCTTCCAGAGAACGTGGGCTTAGTTCCCAGCGCCCACAAGACAGCTCATAACCATCTGTGATTCCTGCTCCAGGGGATTCAGCGCCCTCTTCTGGCTTTGGTGAGCACTGCGCACTTACTGTGCACAGACGTACATTCAGGCAAAATATCCATACATAGAAAATAATTTTATTTTTTTAGTCCCAATAACATCAAAAAGTTTCAGATTTTGGGCTTTCAGAACAGAGATGCTCAAGCCATGTTGCTTTTGTTTATCTTTATATAAGTGGGATCATAAAAGCAGATTTTAAAGCTGGTACTTTGTGACCCAGAAAGTCAGTTAGACCCCTGGACTGTGGGGCATAGAGAAGCAGGGATTAAGTGGACATACTCTTTTTCCAGGGGATCCAAGTTTGATTCCTAGCACTCACATTTGGTGGGCAACTCAAGCCCTCCTATAACTTCAGTCTTAAACCTCTTCCATGTGCCACTACACACACACACACACACACACACACACACACACACACGCTCAGATACTCACATACA